CGGAAATAGTGTTCAACGGGTGATAAGAAATTATAAATTTGTCATAAAAATTCAAAACTATAAACCCATGAGAATTAGAAACTCCTTGGCTTAAGTATTTATGTTACATAAATGATCTATTTAAATATTTATAAATAACCGTTTAATATTTTTTTTGTATATGACCTATGGATAAATAGTAAAAATTAAACATTTTGTAAAAACATACTACAAAACTCCGGACCTGCAAATATAGAATCAACTTCTAGCATTCAATCTTAAAACTTTCCGGTATTTATTGCTTTAGAATAATGAAGTTTCTCATTTTGGAATAGTTTGTTTTATGCAATTGTTATATATAATTTTATTATTTAAAAAAGAACAAGATACATACACCAAAAGTCCAACATAACTAGAGGACAAATTGCAATAAATTCATTAAGTTAATCGAAATTATAATACCGTAATTTTTTTCCTTTCAATTAAGTCATTATATTTACAATTTTATTGCAATATCAACCGAATGACCATGTCTTTCTGTTCTCCCAGTAACCATTTTCCCCAAATTGCAATAAAGTCATTAAGTTTACTAAAATTTTAATTTTCGCACCGTGTTTTGTTTTTCTTAATTAGGTCATTACATTTACAATTTTGTTGCAATGTCAACCAATTGATCGATTACCGTTGATCTAGCAGGTTACCAAATAAATAATATGACAATATTGTGATGTCAAAGACGTGTCGGATCTTATGTGGCAAGATTGAGTTTCAAATATAGGGTTTGCATCGAACCCAATTCCACATATCTCCTTCTCTTTTTTTCTCCTTTTCTCGTGAGAGTATTTCTTCACAAATATCATCTGAAAGTCAATCCAGTGGTTCAAAATCATATAAAAGTTAGTGAAAAAGGCGTGCACACCATTTCAGGGGATGTTATTATGGTTTAGAAGCTCGAATTGTACCACAAGTAAATGAAGACCCATTACAAGGTTGATCAAAGAAATGCTTAGTGAGTTTGTAAGTGAGTTTTAACCATTAGACCAACCTTCAAGCAATATCCGTGAAGAAATACTCTAACGAGAAGAGAAGAAAAAAAAAGGATATATGTGAAATTGAGTTTGATGCAAACCTTATGTTTGAAACTCAATCTTGCTACATAAGATTCGACATGGCTTCTACATCACAATATTGTCATGTAATTTATTTGGTAACATGTCAGATTTATAGTAACCGGTTAATTAGTTGACATTACAATAAAATTGTAAATGTAATGATATAATTAAAAAAAAAAACAAAACGGAGTGTCAAAATCAAAATTTTGGTAACTTAGTGATTTTATTGCAATTTAAGAAAAATAGTTATCAGGATAACGAGTTAATCATTTGATATTGCAACAAAATTATAAATATAGTGGCTTAATTGAGAGAAAAAAAAATACGAAATCAAAATTAAATTTTTTGATTAACTTAATGACTTTATTGTAATTTTTCATAACTATATGTATTTTTCTAATAAGTATAACATATTATATGCGTGTCTCATTTATAATGATTAATAGATAATTTTTAAGGATAATATAGCAATTTTAATCTCCTCTATTATGTCCTATCATTTCCAAATGCAACACATACACTATGTGGAGAGTTCAGTCCCATCCAATCTAATTCTATATGTGTACCAAACACTAATAGAACATAATCAGATAGTTTGACCAATAACCATGCAATTCTTTCCGCCCACAAAACTGTAGCATTCAACTTAATATCAACTTCAATAGAAGTATTTAATTATTTATGAAAGGTCTAAAATAAACTTTAATGCCTAAATAAAACCTTGATAAAACGAAAATCAAGATAAACAAATATTAGTGTTTAAAAAATTAAATAAAAAGTAACTTTTCAAAAGAAAGTTGGGGTTTTTTTTTTAAAAAAAAAAAAAGCATCATACATTTTTAGATAAAGGGTGTATAGTATTTTTTAGAGTAAATTACACAAATGGTCCCTATGGTTTAGGGTAATTTACGCGTTTGGTCCCTAACTTATTTTTTTAACTCGGAATGTCCCTACTGTTTGCTTTTGTTACGCGGTTGGTCCCTATCTTACCTAAAAAGACTATTATGCCCTTGATTTTTTTAATTTATCTAAATAAACACACCCCTAATCCCACCCCTCACCTTACCTCACCTACCCCCATTATTTTTTCCTCTTTAAATAATAGTCTTTTTAGATAAGATTGGGACCAAACGCGTAACAAAAATAAACAGTAGGGACCAAACGCGTAACAAAAACAAACCATAGGAACCTTCCGAGTTAAAACAATAAGTTAGGGACCAAGCACGCAAATTACCCCAAACCATAGGGACCATTCGTGTAATTTACTCTATTTTTTATCAAATAGCTTGATAACTCAAAGACATAAAAATAATGTGATTTTAACATCGTCAAATATTTTGGATAACTTAGATTAATACGATATTCAAAGGGATTTAAGCTAAGATTATGTTTGGTACATTGGAACTAACTTTTTTTTTTGGTTGCTTTATTTGACAAACACTAAACAGTTTATAAACTAGCTTTTTAACAAGTTTATGCAATTTTTTTAAAAATTATCCAAAATATAACATATATAATATATTTGTTATATATAAACAAACTCATCATTCCATTCATTCCCCAAAAGGCCAAAACCATCATTCTCTCCTACCAACCACACGTCTCGTAGTTCTCTAAACATAATGATAAACATAAGAGTTGAAAATCAATTACAAAAGATCTATCGCTTTAGAAATAGGTATAACATCGATGGTGATAATAACTAATAATTGTTAGCAAGAAAATTGATAGCAAGAGTGTTCTTATATTCGACTTATTGTACTCACCCTTGTTTAGGAGATGGATTTGGTGGAGATATATTGTGATAAATAGATGGGTTATTGAAAAATTATAGATGTAGATCAAATGATAATTTGGCCCACATATATGATCCTATTTTTTTGATCTTTGATATATATTTTTTGCTAAAAAATCAATCCCAATAATTCAAATGGAGTTGTATTATTTATTTTACTAATATCTGGTATAAATGACTCTAGCCTCTAGATATCTACGACACTACACAAAATGTACTAAGTACTTGTTTTATAACATGGATTTGTCTTATCCAACTTTTTTAATGTTATTATATTTCCTAGTTAGCTTGTCATACAATTTTTATCAAACATCATTACAAATATTACTTATAAAAAATGTAATGAACACGGTCATATAGATGATAAATATGGAGTATAAGAGTAGTAGCCTACTAGGCCGTTATAGAAAGATATAGAAATTGCAATACACAGAGCCCCAAAGCATAAGGATCATAACTAATTAATTTATTCAAAGAGTACACACAAAAAGGAACATCCTCTCTTCATGCTAAATTGCTATTAGCATAGAGAGGAGAGACAAAATTTCATTTTAAACATTCCAACATACAAACAACAATAATAAGGATATCCCGTTAAAAGGGAAGCCTAATCTATTTGTATACTCATAAAGATCAACACTCGAATCAAGCTTAAATATAGATAAGTATCAAAACAACTGTTGAATTATCTCAGATAACGCTGTATAGGTTCCAATAACAGAAGACACAGACCCAACAACAATGATGAATACACACACTGATACCTATCAATCAAACCAAAACAGACACAATTAGAATTAATTAGTAATGAAACAAATAAATATTTATATCTTTGTACCTGAAAGCGAGTTGTTTTTCCCTTTAAAATGCTCAAAAAGCAAACACAAGGAAGTATCAACGTCTGCAATAGAAACACCCCACATTAACTTTTACTATATTTTATTTATTTTGATTGCCCTTTGAATCTAGAAAAAAGGCAAGTGCTAAAGCAGAGAATTCTAGACAAATAAGAATATACCACTAGCATAGTGAGTAAAGATCCTATCAATGACATCACAAGACCTGTAGAAAGAAGAAAAAATGAACATCTTTAGCTTACATTTATTTATTTATAGTAATTTACATTTTTGGTCCTTGACTACAGCTGATTTTTGCAATTTTGGTCTCTATTCCAAGTAGTACAACTAGTTTTATTCATCTGAGTATTAACCGAATTTCGCAATTTTGATTCCAAATTATAGTCCTTTTACATGAAATGAGGTCTGAAATTGCAAAAAAAAAAAAATCGACTATACTGAGGGACAAAATTGTAATTTGTGGGATGTGGGTATTGAAGTTACCAAAGAAGGGGATGGAGAGGGCTACAAGCAAAGTAGAGAAGACTAATGCTGTTCTAATGAGGATGGAGTAGACATGAGACTTCATATGGTTTGATGGTATCAACTCCTCAAGACTCATAGCTACAGGAGATATGGTCAACGCATATTTGGTAAATGGGTTGACCACCTACAAAACAATAAATAAATGGAGAGGAAATAAGTTATTATTTATTTAAAAACAAAAGTCTGATAATGTTTTTCAAGTTAAATTAAATACCGTAGTCCAGACAGCAACTTTAGAGGCAATCAGATTTGTAGGGAGGTTTAGGGTATATTGTGATTCTGTTGATTCACCAAACATCATGTATCCCATTATAGCCACTGCAGCATAAAGAACAGCACAGCTCCCAAAGCTGCCCATAAAAATTTAATAAACGTGTGTTTTAGCATGTAAAAGGAAAAGTAGCTAAGGGTGATAAAAGTAGCATACCTGGCTAAGAGTACCATAGGAAATTGACTTCTTTTTGCCATTGATGTATAGATATTAGGAAACACTGCATGTCCTGAATAACAGTACCCATAAAGGCCTATCGCAACAGGGAAAGTCGAGAGGTTTAACGTTTTTGTTGTTTCAATTTGAAACCCCACATCATCCACCAACCCAACCCAAAACAAGCAAATCGCCACTAGAATTGACGCGATAACTCCACCAGCTGGATTAAAAACAAAACGATTTGATTTTAAAAGTTTATTATAAAACCATTTTGATTTTGATCTTCTATTAATAAATAGTATAAAGTTTTACCAGATATGTAACTGAGAACACTCATGTTGCGTAGCCAAACTGTGGGAAGGACAGCCAGAGTGATCATAATTGCAAATAAATAATGCGCGTTTAGTATATATCCTCCCAGGTTTAAATGTGCATTTGGAAACAGAGACGATAGGTTATCACTCTCCAAGATAATATATTCAACACAACATGCCTTGAGTGAAAAAAAAATTAAGTTAAAACATAGAATCAAGCCGAATTAAGTAAACCGAGTCAGTGTCTAGATATACTTACATATAACTCCACGTACAATATTATCTGAAGTAAAAACAGAAAACAAGAGAAAAAGGGTAAATTGGTCAGAAACAAGACTTTAATGTTTTTGTTGTTGATGTATTAAGTAAGTAAACTTACAGAAATGATGAGACGTCCGAGAGTGCCAAAGGCAGCCTGGCCAATATCTGGATAGGTCTCGAGACCAGGTTGACTGTCTAAGCAGTATCGAAGGAGGATACCAGTGTAGAAAGAAAGGACACCAAAGATGAACAGTAATGACAATCCTACCCATCCTCCTTCTTTCACTGCAAAAGGAGTTGAAAGAAGTCCAACTCCACAAAGAACATTTATGCCTACACAGTCCACAAAAAAATCATCATGAGAAATTTTTTATTATGTATGTAAAAATAAAATGCCATACGTAGCTTGATGCTTATATGCAATTATGATCCAGAGATCAGAATCAAACTTGCATGTCTTCTAAGACAATTCAAACGTGGCCTTGGTTAAACTGGGACCAAAAAGTTGTTGGGGTCCATTAATTCCATCTTAATCAGATGGGTGAATGAAATAAAATCTACAAATCAGAAATTGTCCTTTCATGGAGTAAACCTAAGACAGAACTAGGACCAATAAATAAATAGTACAATAGTACATAACTAATAAACATGCCAATACTATAAGCAATTAATATTACACATACCATTAAGCACAGATTGACCATAAGAGCTCTGCCTGGAAAGAGGAAGTTCATGTGAAGCCTTAGAAGATTTGTGATAATGTGGCAACTTCTTAGCAGATGATCCTCGTGGAGGAAGAAGAGAATGAGAACTGCTACGCCTTTCTTGTGGCTGCTGGTTGTCTGTTGATGGTGGCAAGAAAGGTTTGCTTAAACTTGGGAGTATCTCGGGAGTGTGTCTTCTTGTCAGTGTTGAGGAAAGGAATGAACTGCCTAATCGAGACAAGTTGGGAGTCCCCAGAAAGTTCAGGCTCGGGGATGGCACACTGCTGTACAGATCTATCGATTGCCTGAAACATCCATCATACAACTCAAGGAAAATCTTTAACAAAACTACTTTCTCTTGATTCAATATCGTACAACTAGATCTTGTTACAAATCGATCACTGTTAATCTTAGTTTGTATCAGATCTTGTTGAGTTTAGTGTGATTGTTGTTTTCTGGTACGAAAAAGTTTCAGAATTCACATGATTCAAATGAATTCAGAATTTCAGCGGAATCTTATCAGTTGTTGACTGTACAAGGAATTAAAGTGTAGAATCCAAAAAAGTGGGATGGGGTCATACCTGTAACTTTGAGGCCACGATGGGTTTAAGGAACTAGGTTTGCTTTGATGCTGAGGGTTATCGTCGGAATAATTTGAAAATTCAGAATCATTCCCATCGTCTTCACCTCTAATGGAGTCCTTGTCTTCCTCATCATCTTCACTCTCGATGAAAAAGGCTTGATCTGATACTGAATTCTTCATTTTCTCAGAAATTTCGTAGCCTTCTTTTCAGATCTCTGAGACTTCAAACAAAAGAGGTTAATCTTGTGTAAGATAAGCTCTAAACAACATCAACTCAAACGAAGTTATGAAAAATGATGTATGTGACTATGTAAAATTATGTTGTGAACTGGATTTGGATCCATTAAAAAGGGAATAAAATCACGAGCGTGTGTATGCACATCAAGCACATGGCAACATGCAAGATAACAGAGGTTAAATTCCTCAAAATTAGCTCGCAGATTTATCGGAATTTCAATAATTCCAGCAATGACTCTGCAAAATCTGGATATCACATGTAAAGAAATTCGAATTGGGGACTAAATTCAACGATAAAACTCCACAAATTAAGCTTTCAGATAGAAGTTAGTAGAAACGAAAAATAAAATTAACCTGATCCGATTTTAGGATTAAGAACAAATGGACGAATGAAGTTAAAATGAGAACGAAGAGGAAAACGTCGATTACCACTACAATCAAAATCGAGATTTCAACGCGAATTCCGTGAATAAAACCCAAAACCTCAAGGATTACCATATTAGCAAAAGATACAAAAAATATAGATACACGTATTCTACCTTTTTTAACAAGTGAATTAAGGTTGAGCTGGTGACAGTATCAGCAAATATTCTTCCTGGTTCGAAATTAAATCACCTTCTATACCAATAAAATCAGCTGAAAAACATGAATCTAAACAGAGAAAAACGAAGACATTGTTGTTCACCAGAGAGCTACAAAAACAGAGCGTTTGCCGTCAGAGAAGAGAGTTCAAGAACAGAGTGCTCTGTTACTTCTGCTTGCTCTGTTGATGCCTCTCAGCTCTGCTAAATCTGCCATCCATTTTATAATGGCACGGCCATTGTTGCCCCCCAACTATCTCTCTCTCTCTCTCACACACACACACACAATTTCGTGGCTTCTCACTCATTCGATTCGATTGTAGCTGATGAAGAAGGCGACAAAGATGCGTACTTGCCTGTGATTGGGGTCTAGCATAGATTTTGACTCGTAAAACGGAGGCCACGTTCCAATTGAATTTTCACAATTAAAATTAATCAAAAACAAACAAAAAAAAAAAAATAGTAGTCGCTGTAAATATGTAACTGACAAAAAAAATAATAATAGAGTATCCGTTATCGTAAATCGTAAACATTTTTTTTTTAAATCTATATCAACGTACCCCGACATAAAAATCGGTCCAAAATAATACAATACCTTTTATTTTTATATATTTAGTCTTTAATATTTTATTTCCTAACTGTTTTTGTATATATATTTAATACTTATGTTTATTTAAATTTTCTCACATTCTATATGACTATTCATTAGTAAGATATTTGGAATTCATTAGTAAGATATTTTGAATTGTTGATGCTTATACTTACTGTGACCTTAGCTATTTGGTTGCTTAGGTATTGTGTTTCGCTTAGATTTTGTGTTATGAATATCGTAAATTCTTCATACGATCTTGGATTTTAACGATATTTATATTCACGCGTTTGTATTTGTTGTGTTCTTGACGTCTTAACTTCTTCATACAATCTTGGATTTTAACGATTTTTATATCATCGCGTTCGGATTTGAGCCTACTACAACTTTCATTTTGATTACTCCCCTTACAAAGTAATATATTTTTACTTACAATCTTTATATACATATATTCTTTATGAATATATGTATGAACCTTTTTTTATGAAATCGTAAGTAAAAATATATATTACTTTTTAACATGTATAATCTAAGTTGTTTGTTTGCTTAGGTCTTGTGTTCTGAACGTCGTAACTTCTTCACACGATCTTAGATTTTAACGATCTTTATATCCACATGTTCATATTAAGTGTAATACAACTTTCGTTTAGATTACTCTCATTAAAAAATAATTTGTTTTTACTTACGATCTTTATATACATGCGTTCTTTATGTATAACGTTCCAAAAACGTCGAGTAAAAATTTCATTTTTAGTAAGTCAAAACAATTCATTCATTAACCTAAAAGACAATTAAAGTAAAAGTATTTTCAAAACATGAGAGTAAAATAATAAACAATCAATGCAGTATAAATCTTTAGGGTATGCAGTGCGATCAAGTTGAACTTTTCCTTTTGAAATCAAATGTACCTGAAAACATTTTAAACATAAACGGTAAGCACAAAACTTAGTGAGTTCTCTAAAATACCATATACCATACTAATAAGTGGGCCCAACCCTAGGGTTATTCCAACCCAACATATAATCATGGGCCTAACCCTGTGGTATATTTCAACCCAAACATACAATAATGGGCCCAACCCTGGGGTTTATCTCAACCCAATCATACATGCAAAAGTCACAAAGATAACTAGCATTCTACATAACACAATCCAGTGGGACGACATTGGAACCTTCGACCCCTAAATACAATTAGAAGACTCACCTAAACTACTCAATAGAAGCCCAACATTTACCTTAACATCAAAACAGCCAACCTAAGCTTCCTAAAACCAAACCGAGACCAGCCCTTTAGTAAAAAACTCAATTCTACCAAAGTTTAACCAAAAGTCAAACTTGTCAAAGCTAAGGTCAAAATTGCCAACAACAGCCTTCTACGTCGTGGCTTTCCTTGGCCACGTCGTAGGCACAAAATTCCAAAATATTCGCTAATTCCCCAGTCGCCACGATGTGACAACCTAAGGCTACGTCGTGGGGACTAGTCTGAACAACTCAAACGATATTAATCTATTTCCTTTCGATTTCAAGAGCTCCAAAGCTCATATTTGATCCTTTCTAAGGTCTTAATGGATAAAGTTTATAACTTTATCCATTATGAAGAACCAAACCACCAAAGATCTAGACTTTAAGTCTCAAAAGGACCCAAAAATGCATATTTCTCAACTTAATCCATTAAGTCCAAGTCTCCCACTTCCATATCTGAATCAAAGAGATGTCTAGAGGGATAAAGTTTCCAACTTCATCCATAATAATGCCATAATCATTCAAGATCTAAACTTTAATACAACAAAATGGTCTAAAGGACCTAAATAACTTGCATGGATTAAAAGGAAGGAAAAATCATAACTTTCCAAGTCTGTGAGGTCTAAGAAGCATTCCTAACTGATCAAAAGATGTTGGAGTCCACTCAACTCCAAGATCACTCATAAAATGGACTAAAAGTGCCAAAAACCCCAAATGACAAGATCTAATGAACTAGATACCAAAATTGGAACTTTATACTTACAATAGTCCAGAAATGTAGTGTCTTTGATGGATCCAAACTTAAATCATCATTCCTTGCAACCAAAAGAACCATCCTGATTTTAAACTTCATCAAACTATCATAAAAAGCACCCAAAAGAGGAGAGATGATAGGGGAGGAGTTCAAATCTTGAAGGTGGAGGTCAAGGTTTCTCCCAAGGGGTTCTAGAGGTGATGTAGGCTGATAACTTGACAAAAAAGTCAGAACCCTATGCTTAAATACGTTGAAAACCGTAAAAATCATGGGCTTGGGCTTGACAGACCACCATGTTGTGTGACATCCCCAAAATCACGGCCAGAAAAGACCGATTTTGTTTATGCTTTATAAAAATCAGAGTACTTCATTTTATAAAAAGGTTGCGGAATTTGTTCCCAGAAAAACACGATAAATACGTTATTAAAACATTTTCGAAGAAACGTATTTTTATTCATCTTGAAACATTTGGGATGTCATCGTTAATACAGAAACATAAGCATAAACAGAACTTACAATTATTTACACTAGTGATCTACATCTCTTTAAATCTCTCAGTGTAATGTCACTTCATATCGCCACCTATGATGTAAATAAACTGAGTGGGTCAGGTTGGGAAACCTGGTGAGTACAATAATATAGTTATTATGTTTAAACAATCAAACAATCAACCCAATTACCCATCCCCATTATCTTCTTTTAGTCTTCCCTAAAGATATTATCTCAAGGGTCATCTCCTATATCATATTTACTTCTCATCTCCTTACATCGTATTTCCTTACATGATTGTTCCTACGAACTTTACCTAAGGATCATCGCCTACATTGCATAGACAATACTAATCCGAGGATTACTCCCTCAATATGTGTCTAGCAAGAGTTAGGGTATCATCGCATGATTACGCAGCCACAACATCGCCTGGACTTGTAAATCATGATAAGGGTTAGTCTATCATCACATGAATACGTAGCCACAACATCGCCTGGACTCGTAATTCATAATAAGGGTTAGACTATCATCGCATGAATACGTAGCCACAACATTGCCTGGACTCGTAATTCATAATATGGGTTAGACTATCATCGCATGAATACGTAGTTACAACATCGCCTGAACTCGTAATTCATCACCTACAGGTTACTAGCCTGCTGGTGTTTCCACGGGGTTGTCTATAATAGTCCGCGGTCGCCATCTATACTCTGGTAGATGACTACATCTCCAAATTCTCGGACAAGGTTGTAGTATCCTACATCACCGATTCATAATCATCTATCTATCATCACCTTCCTATCATCACCTATCTCTCATTATTTTATTTCATCACTCACCAACTATTTCATCTACCCATGTTTTATCCCAACATATTTGTAGATATAAAATAAATATACAATTTAAATCATTTAAAACATGTATAAATCATTCATCCAGCATATACAACAAGTATTCAGACAATATGTACACATAGCACGTAATTTATATTAAAATACTTCATATCTATGTGTAAGATGAAAGGGACCATGCACTCACCTGAAAGGTGGTGACTCAGCACTCGGACAGCGCTTCGATACTCTCAAAACAACCTTCCTTCGATAAAACCTAGTACTAGTACCACTAGGGTTTAGTCTAACGATAACCGTGACTAATTAATAGTCTGACTATTATTATTATTATATAAGCGTTAAATAACACTCAATATAACTCATAATAATAGCCCAAATACTCATTATAAGTTCCTAATAATGTTACTATATTAAAACATAAGCTATACTAAAGATAGCATAGGCATAGCTCACTTACAGCGGGTTTTTCTCGAAAACCGGGCTTCGCTGGAGCAGCGTTTCTGAGCCGAAAGGCTCTTTTCGTGGAGCCGTCGGGCGCTCCGGGGCTTCTGCCTCGTGCTAGGGAGTTACCCTAGGCTTTATGGGGTTAGGGAGGCTTAGAGAGAGAGTTTAGAGAGAGAAAGAAGAGGGTTGAGGTGTGAGAATGAATGGAACCCGGCACCTCTATTTAGAGGGGTGCTGAATGGTCTACTCACCGAGTAGGGGGGACCTACTCACCGAGTTGGTCCATGTGGTGGCCTTCTGGTGGTGCCACGTGTCCAATTCTGGTGGTGCCACATCACCCCTATCGCGTATCAGCCCTCAAACTTAGAAAAATCATAACTTTCGCATACGAGCTCCGTTTTCGACGTTCTTTATATCCACGCGTAGGTAAAATCAAGATCTACAACTTTCGTTTAGACTCCGTCGGCTAATTCTCGACCGATCTCAAATTTAACAGTAGGAGGCGTTTAGACTGTTAAATGACCGCGAAGAGTTCATAACTCCTTCATACGGACTCCGTTTTCGTCTGTCTTTTTACCGTTGAGTTCCTATGAATGAGATCTTCAACTCTTATTTAGGTCACGTAATCCAAAAACCGCTCGAACTAAAATTCGAGTTTCGGACTGTACACTGCTAAGCCGAATCTTAGAAAAATCATAACTTCCTCATACGAAGTCAGATTTGGGCGTTCTTTTTATCGACGCTCTTAGTTTAACATATTCTACGAATTTCATTTAGATCACTAAGGCTAAAAAGTCTTCTATCGTAAATTCACTATTTACGTCTCCCGGTGCCGTGCCGGTTTTGCCGTAAAACTTCGGCGGGCCATAACTTCTTCGTTATAGCTCGGATTTCGGCATTCTTTATATGTACGGAAACCTTGAGACATATTCCACAACTTGTTTAAGATTATTTATTCTAAATAATCTTTTGTCGA